AAGAGCGGGTCAGAATCTAATAATAATAATTAGTTGGACCCAACAAATATCAATAGGGCATGTTTGAAATTTAATAGTATTGATTTTTTAAATATTTTTGTGTGTGGAAAAAGAACGACTTTTTGTGTGGTATAAAGAATAAATCTCATACCGAGTTAATGCGGTTAGGTAATTCAATTTAACAAAAGAACAAACCAACATTAATATTCCACTCCACACACGAGAAAAAAAACAACAACCCTTAGTCAATCCCCTTCCCCTAGTCCTCTCCCTCGAGGCTGCACAGTAACCACCGTCTCTCTATACTACCCTTTTATCCAGAGAGAGAGTGAGTGAGGATCCGTTGGTGTCTCACTCGCTGTCACTACATCCGATCGTCGCCTCTGTAAGTTTGATTTCCTTATTCCTCCGATGAATTTCTCAGCGGAGACAACTTGTTTACAATCCCAAACGTTTTCTCTCATCTTATCATCTCTAGTTTATTTTCAGTGGCGTTTCTTAGTGCTTCACCGAGTTTCTTGCTTGTTCGCTTTAAGTCCGCTGCTCTGGATTCCGTTTTCATTTTCCGATTTGAGATTTGTATTTTTTTTTTAGATTTTCTGTTAAATGTGCGTAGATAGCTTGGATCTAACTGCGATGCTTCGTCATCGATCTGCAGGTGACGTTTCCACGTGTACGTGTTGCTTTCAGCTAGTTTATCTCGGAAGTGATGGATCAGGTTGGTTGGAATCATTGTCTAACTTCTTAGTTAGTAGTCATTGGTTACGAATCTATGCTAATACTGATAATGCAGTACGAGAAAGTTGAGAAGATCGGTGAAGGAACTTACGGTGTTGTGTATAAGGCACGAGACAAGGTCACCAATGAGACTATCGCTTTGAAGAAGATCCGCCTCGAGCAGGAGGATGAAGGTGTACCTAGCACAGCCATTAGAGAAATCTCTCTTTTGAAAGAAATGCAGCACAGCAACATTGTCAAGTATATAATGATGTTTAATTACTATTTTGGAATATTGGTGAACAGTTTTTTGGTGATGATGGTCTTGTGTTGGTACGCAGGTTGCAGGATGTAGTGCACAGCGAGAAGCGTTTGTATCTCGTTTTTGAGTATCTTGATTTGGATCTCAAGAAGCACATGGACTCATCTCCTGATTTCTCCAAGGATCTACATATGATCAAAGTAAGAGTTAGACATTGCTTTGTTTGTGTGCTTAATGCATTTTTCTATGTCCTTATTTAGGTGTTTGGTTGGTCATGATGCCACAAACTTCTCTTTAGTCCTTCCTATATTGTTGAAGTCTAAGTTATGTAATTTCTTCCCATTGCGTCTTTAGTTATCTACATAGGCTGATCAGAGCTCTTCTATCTACTGTTTGCAGAGGTATGTTTACCAGATTCTCCGTGGAATTGCGTATTGCCACTCTCACAGGGTCCTACACCGTGATCTGAAGCCACAGAATTTGTTGATTGATCGCCGCACAAACTCACTAAAGCTTGCAGATTTTGGACTGGCCAGAGCATTCGGTATCCCTGTCAGGACATTTACTCATGAGGTGCCAAAAGAGCTTAATTCTTGTTTATATGTGTTTCGTTATGAAATCTTTTGGCATTGCTTCATATTCGCTTCATTCCTTATCCGTATTAGAAGAAAAGAGTTGAACTATGTCAGAATTATCTGAGTGCTACATTCATATTTCACACCTCGTCAAGGTATTCACACAATTTATTTTTCAAATTGTTCCTTTCTAGGTGGTTACTCTCTGGTACCGAGCACCAGAGATACTCCTAGGGTCTCATCATTACTCTACACCAGTTGATATTTGGTCTGTGGGATGCATATTTGCCGAGATGATAAGCCAGAAGCCCTTGTTTCCTGGAGACTCTGAGATTGATCAACTCTTCAAGATATTCAGGTTTCGTGACTAACTTCCTAGATCCAGTTTTCGTCTTTTATATATTCAAAGTGGAAAGAACTTGTGTGCAATGATATTACAAACGATTCTGAACACATTCTTAACTTGCAATCGAACTTGCAGAGAGAAATAGTGAATAACCATGTATATTGAATTGTTAAATGATTATAAGTCTCTCACTGCCATGTTGTTTTGTATTTTCTTCCAGAATCATGGGAACTCCAACCGAGGATACATGGCCGGGGGTTACTTCGCTGCCGGATTATAAATCTGCTTTCCCAAAATGGAAACCAACGGTATTTCAATTCTCTCTTTTCACATGCATATTTCGTTTTCAGTAGACAAGAGGTTACACAGCACAAGATGATTCTTGCCCATGATCTGTTTTTCTTATACCTCAGGAGTTGGAATCTTTTGTCCCAAACCTGGATCCTAATGGCATAGATCTCCTTTCTGTAAGTTCACTGACCATGCGCATGTATATACAAACACGAATCTATACATTCTACTTCTGCTACACTTAAATACCTGGAAGCTTGATTTGGATGGATCTGGTTTTATATATGTTACCTCTCCTGAACCTTTAACCATATTGTCTTAGCCTCTTAGGACTAGAAACCTTGATACAGTTAACCCATGGGCTATTTGACCTAACCAAAATCAGAGATATTGATGCTGAGGCCTTGTGTAGTGGTCAACTTAACCAAACTGTTCTTAAACCTGAACAAACTTCAATAACTAGGGATTCGTAAAAGGCCTAAACATAAAACGGGAGAGGAAACCGAACTTTTCCATATATTTCTACGGTTTATGAGTTTATCATGCGCAAGTAAAGATGATAATATGTCTCATGATTTATTTGTATCAGAAAATGCTGTTGATGGATCCAACCAAAAGAATCAACGCAAGAGCCGCCCTGGAGCATGACTACTTCAAGGATCTTGGCGTCATGCCGTAGAGAATGCTTTAAAACCAGTAATCTCCTACATCCTCTCTATATATAAGTATTTCGATATCTTTCTTCCCAAGAAAATGAGGCAAAATACATCAATGGCTTTTGTGTATTCTTTTTTTATTTTTTTTTCCGAGTTGTTATTCTCTGATACGAAAAAGGAAAGATTTAGAGTGTGCTTTGTTTATTTCTTCTAAGCGTTTGAGATCATTTCTCGTCTATGTTTATACCAAGTTCAGTATTCCCCTCTCTAATGGTTTTATATTGATCTTATTTATTGTATGCGAACTCCCCATTTAAGAATTACAACCATTTCGAACTTAGTATCTGCAAATCTTCTTCTCGTCTTAAGGGGATAGCGAACGAGCTGAATGATGCGTAGATGGGTGGAGACGGTTAAGGTTTCTTGAAAACGATGGATGACCAGGCATTCATGCATATATTTAGGTTCGTCTTACCAATGTAGAGCTCCGTTAAAAGTTCAAGGTTTGCTATTCCATTGGACACCATTTAAAATTGTGACCAAGTCGGTCTCTCCACTGACTGCGCCTATAATCCAAAAGCTTGACAACATAATACATGTCCTTTCACCCATTCAATGATAATACAATACTAGATATTGAGATCTTATAGTCGTAGTAGTAATTGTTGTTCTTCTTGGATGAATTTATTGCGTCTCTACGATGTGCTTATCGCGTTGGTGGGGGCGTTCTATGTTTGGCCTCACATACATGGCATTTTTCGTAAGAATTGGGTGCCATTCTAAGTTTGGGCCTCACATACCGCTTCACTCCCCAGTAGCAATACGGGACAATTATTGTCTATTCAGTTTTCATAAGCAAAATGTATTGTACCTGATAAGGAGGGTCAAAGTAGTTGCGCTTCGCTTCACTTGACGTACATCTAGCCCAGGACCGCAAGGTGCTTTGAGACACAGAAAAGATTACCCGGTGTGTGGATGGACAATTAAAACAAGGAGGAGCCATAGCTTCTGTAAAGTATGCTATAGTGATTTTTTTCAGGCTAACTGTTTGTTCAAATTTCTATTATTTGCAGACTAGCTAATTTTTAAAAATTCACCAACTCTCATTATAATTGTGCAAGTCCCTTTTAATATCCTCAAGTAAAAGAAACTGTATAAATTTTAAAACATTTAAGACTTTTGTTTTTGGGTAGGCCGGCTAATGAAAATCTCATGGCTTATATGGCCAACGTGAAGACCAGAGAAACTACAAGAGGAAATGGGTTGTCTGCTTCATTTTAGTTTTATATAGGTCTTGACCCCACATTATTTGAAAGAGATATTTCAAACAAATACAAGATTACTTTTTCACAATTGTATTTTTGTTCTTTTGAATTGGAACAAAAGAATAGCCTTTTTTTGTTTTGTTTATAGCTCAACAAGAAGAGGGTCCAACAATAGAGACCAAAACTGACGAGAACTCTTCAACACGTATTGGATTATAGATTATATGGCTGGCCGATGTGAATTCAATAGAACTTAAAATGAAAGAAGACAGATCATACATAGTCTGATAAGCATCCAATTGTTGACATAATAAGTGGTGATGATTAATCAACCAGCAAATACCATTTTGATACCTTTGTAGACAGGTGCAAGTTGTTCTATATGAATATGTTTACATTCAATACCTAATCCACATACACATTAAAGCTAACAAATTTTAAAAACGATTTATTTGACTAATCCATTTTTTACCATAATCAGAACCAAGTTTGAAACAATAATAGTTTCAAACTAAATATTTTATAGTATATCTTTACGAATTAGAAATAAACATTTAATATATTAATCATTTAAAATTTAGAGATCATAATGAATATTTTTGATGTCATCTGCCCTCCTGAATACAATAATTCATGAGTAATAATAATTCACATGTAGTTAGCAAATTTTATGACACAGCCGTTAATTTGTGACAAAAACAAATCCATTAGCAGACAAAAGAATAGCAAAAAACAAAATATCGCAATAAACTAATACTTACGATAAAGTCGTATTTAATTAAAACGTTATTGATTCGAAATTAATTGATTAGTAAAAGGGGAAAAGCTGACTTAATGGACGACCAAGTAGCCTTCCCTCAGACATACTAATTCTCTGTCAATAATTAATATACCTTTTTTCAAACAAACACCATTTTGTAGGAAACAAAGACTCGAACTTTTTCTGGGTTCCGATGTTAGAGTTGCAGCCGTCAGATCGTCGTCCCGGAGCTCCGAGTTCTAGCGGCGGCGGTGGTGGTGGTGGTGGAGGAGATGAGCTGATCAGAACGTATAAGGGTTGGAAAGGCAATAACGTAAGCTTTCTCTTTATCTCTCTCTCTCTCTCTCTTATTATTTTACTTTCTTGGCATTTATCTGAGATCTGAATCGAAATCCTCAAGATTTATACCCACAAGTTATGGAATAGTCTTTATCTTCCCCTTGTGTTTTCTGGGTTCATTTTGAAAAAAAGTTTTAAACTAAGTAAGTTTGACTTTTATTTCCTAATTTTTAGGTGTATGATTTTAATTTGAATTTGACTTTGAAAACCCTCAAATCCTACTTGGCTTCTCCTTAAACCCGTCTTCCATGATGTTTTCATCTAATGATTCACCAAGTTTTGTGCTTTACCTATTGAATTCAAGAAAACACTTGCAAGAAACCATGTCTGCATATGGTTAAGCTTTACCTGCTTTGGTTTGGTCTCCTAATCATTTCCTCATGTGTAATTATCTTAGAGGTTCTACACTTGTTTGAATATGTTGTCTCAGAGTGACAATAGTTCTTTTGTTGTTGTTATTTCAATTTTTTGGTCATGTTTGTAACATTTAATTGTTGCCATCTTGAATGATTCTTTTTTTTTTACTTTTGTTTCATCCAGGTGTTCTTCTGTGGAGGAAGGCTTGTGTTTGGACCCGATGCTAGATCTATACTCATCACCATCTTCTTGATTACAGCTCCCGTCACTATCTTCTGCGTTTTCGTCGCCAGAAAATTTATTGATGACTTCCCTCACCACAGAGGAGTATCAGTACTAGCCGTCGCTGTTGGTCTTAACATTTTAGTGAGTTGAATCTTTTATCTTTGTTCCCTCTTCTGCTTACACATGCCTCTTCTTGATTGATAAATTTTTATCTTCGTGTGTCTCCACAGGATCTTATATTCCTTCTTGTAACCTCTGGGAGAGACCCTGGAATCATACCTCGTAATCTATATCCTCCTGAACCAGAAGGTATTGAGAGTAGTGGAGAACCGCGTCTTTCTCACACTCCTACTCAGAGCCGGTTGCCTCGGACAAAAGATATGGTTGTGAATGGAATCACTGTGAAGATCAAATACTGTGACACTTGCATGCTCTACAGACCTCCCCGTGCTTCTCACTGCTCCATATGCAACAACTGCGTTGAGAAATTTGATCATCACTGTCCTTGGCTTGGTCAATGCATTGGATTGGTAATAAATCCTTTTTACCTCTTTTCTTATCATTCTAAATAGCATTTAGCAGGGCTCTAAAACATCTTTATAGAGGGCAAATCTGTCATAGCCAAATCGATTGTCTTAAAATCTGATTTATACTATTTAAATCAGTTAGATCGGTGTAAATCGATCTAAATTAGTCAAACCAATCTAAATTAGTCGAAACCAGTTAAATTAAGTAATAATGTTAGTACAAATCCACAAATTTGTCTGATTTCTTTTGTTTTGTATATTTTGCCACTTCATCAGAATAATTTAGATTTTTATAATTAAAGCCAAAAACTAAAATATTTAATATAAATGTAAAATATATATAAAATAAATGGAGATAAATCAATCATTTGTTAAAGCTGAATATTCTCACTAGTGCTAGCTCTCACTTAGTTATTGCCTAACGATTTTTTGAACATTGACATGTAGTATTCAAAAGAAACTAACAGTTTGTTATAAAATGCAGAGAAACTACAGGTTCTACTTCATGTTTATATTGTGCTCGGCTCTTCTCTGCATTTATGTCCATGTGTTTTGCTGGATATACGTCAAGAGGATAATGGATGGCGAGAAGATAAACATCTGGAAATCTCTAATCAAGACACCTGCTTCCATCGCTCTAATAATCTACACGTTCATCTCTGTCTGGTTCGTTGGTGGGCTTACCGGTTTCCACTTGTACCTAATGAGTACCAATCAAGTAAGTTCTTGCTTTCACACTATACACACAACACTGAGACCGTTGGATTCAAGTAGCTGCTTGTATATTAACTGTTATTTTATATTCTGCAGTCAACTTACGAAAACTTTAGGTATCGGTATGATAGACACGAGAACCCATTCAACAAAGGGATAGTTGGTAACTTCATGGAAGTGTTCTGCACAAGCGTTGCTTCATCTAAGAACAGTTTCAGAGCAAAGGTACCAAAGGAGCCAGTGATCCCACCAAGGATAGTGAGCGGAGCCATGTCAAGCCCGAGCTTGCAGAAAGTTTCACAGGACATAGAGATGGGGAGAAAACCGGTGTGGCACGAGACAGTAGATGAGGAGCTCGGTGACATGGACAAGGACATGGAAACATCGGTTACATCAAGGGATTTGAGCAGGATGCTTCCACCAGAAGAGACCGAAGGACGTGGGATTATGCATTCGAGAGAGTCTAGCAGGGGAAGGAGAGGAGGTAGCTGGGAGTTCTCAGGCCGTGTTAACGAAGATTTACGAAGCAGAGATAATGAGCCTTCAGGGAATGATGCTTCCAGAGATTTACTGGTTGAGATATCTGATGCATCAACAGTTAGAAGCAGAACCGGAACTGGTATAGGACGGTTATAGTCTCCGGTTTAAGGCAATTACACAATTGAAAAAGGTTTGAAGAAGATCAAACAAGATTGTGATTCATTCAGGTTTGTTTGTCTGTTTACCACATTGTAACGAGTTTGTGTAAAGTAAATGTTTAAATTTGATTAAAAAGGTTTCAAAATAACTGTTTGGACCAAACAAGACATGAATTTACTTGAGGGAGAAGGCATCTGAGATTAGTTTCTCATCTTCTTCATAAACCTGAAGGTTCTTGGACTTCATGAGAAACTCTAAAGCCTCTTCATCGAACTCAACAAAGTAAGCCATCTTTACTAGCTCTGACAACCTGTCAATCAGATCTTCCCTCTCCTTCATCACTCCTTTAGCAATCACCTCAGCGAAACACGTGGCGTACTCCAAAACCTTTCTTTTCCCGCAAGTTTTCTTCATCTTCTCTGCATAAACAACTCCTTCCTCTCTCTCCCACCTCATCATCTTCGTAGCATTTGCAGTAAGCTTCTCTCCCTTTGAAGGTAGTGTCAGAGTATACTCCGTTGAGATGGTCTCTGGAGTTTGGAGAACGTTGAGGTTAACAAGACTTTGTATGATTGTAGAACGTTCCTCAGCTTCTATCTCAAGAGATGGATCAGATATAAACCCTAGAACCAACCTCACCAGACCCGGTCCGATCATGTTATTCTCTTGCTTCTTGACTTTGGTTTGATCGGTGAACTTATCTTCTGCAGTCTCCACGCATTTGGAGATGTCTTTGCCTCCTATATTCCTGTAAATCTTTATAAGCTTGGTTTGTGACAATGTAGAGATGCTTGGAGTAGGGTACCATACGAAGACTGGGGAGTCTATGAAAAGATCCTTCAAGAGCAAATCATCAGCTATGAACACATCGCTTTTGCTAGATAACAAGATTCCTCCATCATCGCTATTATCTTGTGTCTTAACAGGCAAACGGGAGAAGGATTCAGAGAGCAACTCCTCGGATATACCGTGTCGCACAAGGAAGCTCCAGAACGCACAGCACTCATGGTTTGATAACCTGTCCTTTGTTCTCTCCCAGTCTTTCCACAAAGCATAGTAGTCATTAACCGATGGCGTTCTTCTGACGTCAAATGCAGATGAGAAGAAGTCAAGAAGGTCATCATCACTCTTGTAATGGTTTTCAAGAACGTTTAGGTGTGATCCAAATAGCTTGTCTTTATCACTGACCACGCAGGTAGACACATCTACCCATTTGGCATGACCAGGGATCCAAATCAAGCCTGAAGACAACGAGTCTTTCTCTTGTTTCCATCCAGATTTACTGAGAAACCTATATATTCTGGAAATCGCATCAGAATTAGAATGAGTATAAACGTGGCTAGCAAGCAACTTGCAAGCAACTTGCAAGCTTTGGCTAGATCAACTTGCAAGCTTTGGCTATTAACGATATATGTAAATAATGTACATATTATTTAAAAGTGTCTTATCAAATAAAATGTTTCAGTTACCAAAATGTTTTAAGAAACTTAAAAGAACAAACTGAAACTGTAAAAAAAAATTATAAATAATTCAATAGTTCACATCTAAAATCAATACGAAAAAAAACTTTAATTCATTCTCTAAGTCTTCATCACTCTAAATATTTTTTCACATTTTAAAAAAATCATGAAATTAAGTTTTTATTTGCTCGTGTAGTGAGAAGCAATATTAAGTACAATGCTTTGTTATTTTATACAAATTTAATATTTCATGAATGTTAATGTTCCAATTATTAAAGTATTCAACACAAATGATATTTCCTATATATTATTTGCGAAATGATTTGCTATATGTTACTAAGATTGCTGACATAGCTTATATTTAAATATGACATAGACAATTACATTTTTTTGATATATATATATATATATATTGGTAAACTTTATAGAGTATGACTGATACATTACATTTAATGTTGCTTTATATTTTTGGCAAACTTCTTTTAAAATATGTAATAACTCATAAATCAAATCATCATTAAATAAATATATCAAAAGATACACTATAAATTTCGAAATGTTATTTAATTTTAATTTTATAATTATACAATTTTTATTACTAATATTTTTAAAATTTTTTACATCTTTTAAAAAAAATTAATAAATTTGTAATCGTAATATCATTAGTTTCTTTTATATTGGACAAATTTTACAAATATTGTTTAGTTATAATTTTTAATAACTATAAAATTTTATATGAATTTTCTTAGTAATCTTATATAAGTCGATTTAATATATTTAACCAAAATAAATAGATTAAAAAAATTTAAAATTCTAATTTTCAATATATTACATATATATTATTAAATATAATTTAAAATAAAAAAATATTTTTCTTAATTTTAGAAAATAATATCGATACTATTAATTATTTAATGTACGTTCATTGAAGCTAATGTGTTTATTTTTGCAAGAAATTCTAAAATAATTAGAATGAGAATTTAGCACATTATGTACTTAAATATATAGTTGTTTAGGTCCAAAAACAAAAAACAATTATGCCATTAATGAGAAATTAAATTTGTTCATAATAATAAGGATAATTTTGGAAAACGTAATTATTTCATTAAAGGGGAATGATCCTCTTTTGATGGTATTGATATAACAAAACATAACTATCTTAAAAAATATATATAATAGTTAAAATATAAATGAGATATAAATGAATATAATATAATATTAAATAAGATATGTACAATAAATTTATTTTAAGTATTAACTTGATTATAAAAAATGTAAAAGTAAAAAAAATTTGGTATGGCGCCCCAAATTTTACAGGCTCCACCTCGGTTTGACCATGTTCGATTGAATTTAACCAAATTAAATTTAACGATATATGTAAATAATGTACATATTATTTAAAAGTGTCTTATGAAATAAAATGTTTCAGTTACCAAAATGTTTTAAGAAACTTAAAAAGAACAAACTGAAACTGTAAAAAAATTATAAATAATCTAACAGTTCACATCTAAAATCAATACGAAAAACAAATTTAATTCATTCTCTAAGTCTTCATCACTCCAAATCTTTTTCACATTTTTTTTAAAAAATCATGTAAATTAAGTTTTTATTTGCTTGTGTAGTGAGAAGCAATATTAAGTACAATGCTTTGTTATTTTATAAAAAATTAATCTTTCATGAATGTTAATGTTCCAATTATTAAAGTATTCAACACAAATGATATTTCCTATATATTATTTGCGAAATGATTTGCTACATATTACTAAGATTGAGGGCATAGCTTATATTTAAATATGACACAGACAATTACATTTTTTGTTCATATATATATTGGTAAACATTATTGAGTATGAGTGATACATTACATTTAATGTTGCTTTATATTTTTGGTAAACTTCTTAAAGTATGGTAATAACTCATAGATCAAATCATCATTCAAAATAAATATATTAAAAGATACACTATAAATTTCGAATTGCTATTTAATTTTAATTTTAAAATTATACATTTTTTATTACTAATATTTTCAAAATTTTCTACATCTTTTAAAAAATTAAATAAATTTTTAATCGTAATATCATTAGTTTCTTTTAAATTCGACAAATTTTATAAACATTGTTTAGTTATAATTTTTAATAACTATAAAATTTTATATGAATTTTCTTAGTAATCTTATAAAAGTTGATTTAATATATTTAACCAAAATAAATAGATTAAAAAATTAATATTCGAATTTTTAATATATTACATATATTATTAAATATAATTTAAAATATTTTGAGCTTAATTAATTCAAATTTATTTTTAAAATTAGTCAAAATAACTAAATATATAATATTAATAAATTGAATTTTAAATATAATTTAACTTTTAAAAGTTTATCACTGCAAATATTGAAAAAAATAGTATAATATTTTCTAAAAAAATGAAAAATATGTATAATGAAAATGATTGGTTGGATTGTAGGTGTAGAAATGTTGATGTAAAATTTAGTTTATAAAAAAATTTGATGTGGTAGTATCAGGGGTGGAGGCAGCGAAAAGTTTTGTTGGAGGCATAACTAAAATTGGTAAGAATATTAAGGGTCAAATTAGTAAAATTAAAGAGACATAAAATAAATTATTCAAAGTTTTACATGTAACATTAGAAAACTATGGGGGAGGGGGGAGGAGGGCAAATGCCCCAATCTTATATCATGTGGCTATGCTACTGGGTTGTATGTAAATAAAAAGGAAATATATTCTAGGGCAAATGCCCCATTCTTATCTCATGTGACTTCGCCGCTGGGTTGTATGTAATTAAAACGGAAATATATTCGTACAATCATATATTTTGTTTTTGACAAAATATGGTTCTTACCTCCATTTTTAATTACAAAAGAAGAAAAAAAATTGGAAATTTCCAAACAAATTACAGAGACAGGAAAACGACGGCGTAACAGTTAGACTTCGTGGAAAAAGAACCGGTTCGGTTAAGTGGTGAATGCAGGACCGGTTTGATTTCAGAATAAATTGACTCAGATTTTAAAATATAACTAAACCGTTAAGGGGAGACGCGTGTTGTCCAAACGCGATCGAGACCGACCTAAATTGAAATATAACCGTTAGGAAAACACGTAAAAATACATAGTACTATTTATTAATACACACATGGAAGAAAGAGAGAACATTTTTTCCAAAAAAAAATAAAAATCTTTGAAGAACTCTCTGAAGTCTCAATCTTCGTAAGTAGTCTTTCGACTCTTCCAAACTTTGCAGAAACGGATCCAATTCATTAACATAGTAAGTATTTCGATCTCTGTAAATTCTTTGAGGATTTTCGATCGCAATTTTGTTTTTAGGGTTTCGTTCTCTTTAGATTTTGGCCCGATTGGTTTGGGATTTCTCGCTCTATGTTAGGGTTTTCGTGTGAATCTTTCTGGTTCAATTGATTTTCTTGTTCCTTTATAGTTTGATCGCAATTTGGTTTTTAGGGTTTCGTTATCTTTAGATTCCGTCACGATTGGTTTGGGGTTTCTCTATAAGAATCTCTATAGTCCGATTGATGGTACTAAACTCTGTAAGAATCGATAGAAAAACCCAGTTGGATTGATATCTTGTTCGATTGATTGTCTTGTTTGATTGAAGTTTTATACATATTGGATTCGACCTGTTTAGTTTCTGGTACTAAACTCTGTAAGAATCTATAGAAAACCCTGTTTTACTCTTTCATTAGCTTTCTGTTTTCTCCTCAATGTACGCAGTGTTGTTTGTCTAACCTCTCAAATTCATAGTAGTCCTGTAGTTTATGCTATACTATCTAAGCTGTGTCTTTATTCTTTTGTATCTTTATTTTAGGGTTCATAATTTTGTGGTTATGGTGTATCTTCGTACTACTGTTTCAATTAGCTTCACAACGAGAAGAAACAGTGTGACGAGAGAAAGAGATGTAAGAGCTGAAAGGCGAATGAGTTTCAATAGCAGAGAATGTTTTTGCAGCGACTCCGTGTGACTGACACCTGTCATTAAGGTAAATAACTCTTGCTATGCTACTGGCCTTCCTTTTTAACTGGTTTTGTTTTTTTTTTTTTTTTAATCCAACGACAACAAGATTTCAAAACCCTAAGATCAATTGTTTTTGTTTTTGTTTTGGTTTAATTTTTTGGTTTCCACTTCAAACCCCCCCCCCCCCCCCAAAAAAATGATCATAGACAGACAGTAATCTAATAGTGTTCTGTCAGATTCTTCTTTTGGGAACATTGTCCCTTTGCTGCCCCTAAAGGAAACTTATTACCCACGGCTTAAAAAAGTCTTATAAGACAAGAAGAGACTTTACGAAAACCCACGGCTTAAGAAAGATCTGTTTTTGATTATTTGGATGGAATGGGAATGGCTAAGAAAGTCTTTAAGACAAAAGACTAAAATCAAAAACAGATCCTTATTTCTTACTTACCCACGGCTTATGGAGTATAAAGACCATGGTAAAGAAAGTCTTTAAGACAAAAGACTAAAATCAAAAACAGATCCTTATTCTTTTACTTACCCACGGCTTAAGAAAGATCTGTTTTTGATTATTTGGATGGAATGGGAATGGCTAAGAAAGTCTTTAAGACAAAAGACTAAAATCAAAAACAGATCCTTATTTTACTAGTACCCACGGCTAGAGAAAGATATGTTTTTGATTATTGGTTTGGATGGAATGGATTACAACGACCAATAGTTAAGAAAGTCTTTAAGACAAAAGACTTGAAAATCAAAAATAGAACCTTATATTGCTACACAAGGCTTTAGACAAGGACATGTCAGTTAAATGACCCACAGCTTACAAGTCTTTAGACAAAGACATATAACACATGTCATGTGAAAAGATCTACGGGTTAAAAGTATTTACTACTACCCACGGCTTGAGAAAGATCTGTTTTTGATTATTTATTTGGATGGAATGGATTATAATGACCAATAAAGTCTTTAAGACAAAAGACTAAAATCAAAATCAGATCCTTATTTTTTTACTTACCCACGGCTTAAGAAAATCTATTTTGAGGGAATGGGAATTTTAACGATCAAGGGTTTAAGGAAGTCTTTAGAACAAGACTTTAGAAATCAAAAACAGATCGTTGTTTTACTACTACCCACGTCTTGAATAGACATGACATGTCATTAAAAGAGCCACAGCTTACAAGTCTTTAGACAAAGACATATAAGACATGTCATGTTGAAACAGCCACGGCTTAAAAGTCTTTACTACCCAAGGCTTACAAGTCTTTAGACAAAGACTGCAAATCAAAAACAGATCCTTATTGCACTGGCCACGGCTTACATATAAGTCTTTAGACAAAGACGTACAAGGCATGTCAGTTAAGACCCAAGGCTTACAAGTCTTTAGACAAAGACATATAAGACATGTCGGTTTTACTGACCCACGAGTATAACAAACCAACGGTTTAAGTAAGTCTCAAGTCAAAGACTACACATGGGTTACAAAGACTTGTAGAATGAAAAAAAAAGTACCCATGGGTTGATTTTGTAATGCGGCTTAGACAAAACTGTGTGAACCGAGAACCATTTGGATGGGAGTAACGGCCCAATGGTTACAAAGTCTTTAAATATCCCGTCATGGCTTAGAATAGTCTTAAGACAAGAGACTTTTCTTAACCACTGCTTGAGAAGATTTGTTTTTGATTATTTGGATGGAATGGAGTATAACGACCAAGGAGGGGGTCAAGAAAGTCTTAAAGACAAAGACTAAATATCAAAAACAGATCATCATTTCACTACCCACGGCTTACATATAAGTCTTTAGACAAAGACATCTAAGGCATGTTAAAAGACCTAAGGCTTACATACAAGCCTTTTGACAAAGACATGTCAGTTAAAAGACCCACGGCTTAAAAAAAGTCTTTTAAGACAAGAAGAGACTTCTTTACTAATCCACGGCTTGAGAAGATCTGTTTTTGATAATTTGGATGGAATGGATTATAATACGACCAATAAAGTCTTCAAGACAAAATACTAAAATCAAAAACAGATCCTTATGTCTTACTTACCCACGGCTTGAGAAGATCCCGTTTTTGATTATTTGAATGGAATGAATTATAACGACCAATGGTTAAGAAAGTCTTTAAGACAAAAGACTAAAATCATAAACTGATCCTTCTTACTAATACCCACGGCTTACATAGACAAAGACATGTCAGTTAAAGACCCACAGCATACAAGTCTTTAGACAAAGACATATAAGACATGTCATCTTAATAGACTCGCGGCTTACAAGTGTTTACTACCCACGACTTACAAGTCTCTAGACAAAGACTGCACAAGTCTTTAGACAAAGACATACAAGGCATGTCAGTTTAAAGACCCACGGCTTACAAGTCTTAGACAAAGATGTATAAGGCACACAGCTTTACATACAAGTTTTTAGACAAAGACATCTAAGGCATGTCAGTTAAACGACCCACTGGCTTGCAAAGTCTTTAGAGTTTAGACAAAGACATATAAGACACATGTCTTTACTTACCCATGGCTTAAGAAAGTCTGTTTTGATTATTTGGATGGAATGGAGCATAACGACCAACACTTACAAGTCTTACAAAACAGATTCCTTATGTTATTACCCATGGCTTACAAAAGTCTTAAGACACAGACTTACAAAAGTAAAAGTATTAAGACAAATACACAACACATGTCAGTTAAAAGTCCCAGGCTTAATAGTCTTTACTACCCACGGCTTCAGAAATTCTGTTTTTGATTAGTTGGATGGACTGGAGTTAAACTATCAAAGGGTATAATAAGACAAAAGGACTACAAATTAAAAACAGATTCACTAGCTCACTACCCATGGCTTACTGAAGTCTCTAGACAAAGACTTAAAAATGTATTTAAGACAAAGACTTACAAAAGTCTTTTAAGTCTTTGGACAAAGGCATAGAAGACATATACTTCACTAGTTCACACTACCCACAGCTTACAAAGATTTTGTCTCAAGACAAAGACCAAAATCAAAAACACTACCCACGGCTTACTTAAGTCTCAAGACAGAGACTTACAAAAGTATCAAGACAAAGACTTACAAAAGTCTTTAGACAAAGACCTATTAAGATTCAAAGACCCACAGCTTACAAAAACTCAATAACATATTTGAAAGAAGTCTTATGCCAAAGACATAATCATTTCTCTACTACAAAGGTTTGAAGTGGTTTGTTGAATAGAGAAACGATGAACAACTTTAAAATACTACAAATCATATGTGATCCTTACTTGTACCACATGTACTATATAGAAACACAGAGACTGTTCACATTTGAAGAACTGATCCAAGATCCAGACACTGGAAGAAAAATGGTAAGCATGAGGCATAATACTACATGTAAGTAAAAACTAATTCATTTGATTTTTTTTCCAGGTTTGTGCTTTAGGAGGTCTGAGGAGATTGCAAGTGTAGCAGACTTCTGCGACAGGTAGTACATCTTTGAATTAGTTGAGTCTCAGATATATATTTTTGAAGGCATGTGAGATTTCTGTAGTTTATATGTCTGAGAAACTTTTTATTTGTGTCCACTAACCCTTCGTGATCACATATGATACGTTCCTGTTTTTTGATAATTTAATATTGTTTGTTTTATGAGTGTCCTACATTTTTGCATTATGCATCATATCTTTACAGTTCTAGATTATGCACTCTGCATCATGTCTTTACAGTTCTGGATTCTGCATCATGTCCTTACAGTTCTACATTCTGCACTCTGCATTGTAATGTTTGCATTCTACATCATGTCTTTACAGTTCTGCATTCTGGACTCTGCATTGTGATGTTTGCATTCTACATAATGTCTTTACAGTTCTGCGTTCAGTCAAATTTTGCATCATGTATCATGTCTTTACAGTCTTATAGTTAAATTTGTATGTCTGAGAAATTCTGTCGTTCTGCACTCTGCATTGTGATGTTTGTATTCTACATCGTGTATTTACAGTTCTCTGCATTGTGATGTTTGCATTCTACATCATGTCTTTACAGTTCTGCATTTAGCATATGTCCTCAAATTTTGCATCATGTATCATATCTTTGCAGTCTTATAGTTAAATTTGTATGTCTGAGAAATTCTGTCATTCTGCATCATAGTTTTTATATACTTATGATTATGGACACTGATAAAAAAATAGAACTGGTTGTGGTAGTTGTGGTACTAGTGTTTGTCCTTAGCCTCTTAGTCGTACAGAGTTGATGGGTTTGGAAATCTATTGAACCATTGGTGTATTTATTTAGCATGTGCAACATATCTTTCTTGATTTCTCTATTATGTTCTTTTAATATTATATCTATGATTGTTGTAAAAAAAGGGTAAGGATTAGCAGCCGAACTCCAATGTTGTCATCTCTTTTGTAGGTATGCATCAAATGTCCTTTAATCGTCTTAGGTAGGCTATATTCTATGCCTAAAATTTTAATTTGGTTTCAAAGACCGTATATTTGCTATAATAGTGGTTAAACCTGGAAGTTCTCGACTCTCTAGCAAAGATACTTATGTTAAAAATCCAGCTTCGTTTAATGTGAAGGCAATGTTTCAAAGAAACTGTACAAATGATTGTTAAATTAAGGTTCATCTTCCAATACATATTGTACATTGTAACTTAAGGTAATTTCAGTTGTATTCTCTTAATATCTTGCACCTGGTCTTGTCTATTATATCTACTCATATTTAACATTTCAAGAAGATAATATTTATTGCTGCCTTTTTTGTGTTTAATATGGAAAATCTAAATTTAGGTGTTAGTTTTGTCGATTAAAAATGCTTTATGTAACTTTTTAGACTTCATAAGATGATAGAATTTGATTTGGCATGTTCTCATTAGACATAGTTCCTGTAATTGGTTTGTTGCCTAAACACTATTGGCTCTTTTTTTTTATATCTGAATGTTATGGTCGCGGATAATACCATCTCTACTTTTGATTTTTAAACTTATTGTAATAGTTAGTGTGGTAAAATTAATTATTTTTAAGAAATATATGTATATCTTCAAATATAGCCAATAATTATATGAATTAGTTTTTACTTGCATGTAATACCATGGTTTATTATTCTTTCAAACTAGTATATGGATTTGTTTGACTCAAATTGCAGATAATACCATCTCTACATTTTTTGACTTATGGATTTGTTTGACTTATGGATTTGTTTGACTCAAATTGGCGGATAATACCATCTCTACATCTTTAGGAGGTCTGAGGAGATTGGCGGATAATACCATCTCTACATTTTTTTGTCAACGTTAGAGCATGTTTTATTATTCTTTCAAACTAGTATATGGATTTGTTTGACTCAAATTGACTCTCCAAATAATTTATTATCTGAATTTCATAATTTGACTTTTAGTGGTTGCATCATATAGACTGTTTTTAATTCACGATTTGGTTAGTGGATATGTTATATGTTTAAACTCACATGCTTGATTTTGGCATCATCTGTGTTTTTATAAAATCAAACTAACAAACTATGAATGGGAAATTATGTTCTGTCTCATTCCTATGATCGTAAGATCATATATATACAGGTACATCGTATCTCAAGGGTAAACCCAAAATGTAAAGAGAATATACACACAATATATTGGTATACACAATATATTGGCATAAATATGGAATATATTCTAATACCCCTTCAAGTTGGAGTATACAAGTTCTATATGCCCAACTTGAATTTAAAAAAAAAAAAAAAAACTTGAATAAAACTGTATCAACTTCCTTCTCCCCCAATGCCTTAGTGTATGTATATTTGCTAGTAATGTAAATATCAATACCCTTATAAAAACTGAATTATTGGTTAAACTAAAAATAAAATATTAATTTCTATATTTTTAACACAAAAAAAAACTAAATACCAGTGTTTTGAAATCCGACCCGGATCCACGGTTAAATCGGTAAATCCGGTGATCCAAGATAAATCTGGTTTAGGTTTTGTGAAAAAACAATATTTAAAAATCTAGTAAAACCCGCAAAAAAACTACTAAAACCCATAACCCGACTACCGGTTGAACCACAGGTTGAACCAATAAATAAATTCTACTTTTTTATAGTTTTATTTATGTTTTGATTGAACTTTCTTATTCATATATAATACCAATTACACTATTTTATGTATGATTTTTAGATTTTTATAAAGTTACTATACCAGTGGAAGAAAATGAAGTGAATGATAATAGTAATAACCAAAATTAGTTGATGTAATTTGGTGTTAGTTTATTTTATTATCAATAATTTATTACAATTATGTTTTACTTTTAATTTTGGATTTGAGATTAAATTTTATTATTCACATTAGACATTTAAATATTTATGAATTTTAAATTTAATATTTTTTGTTAGATGCCATAACTCTTAAGTTCGTAATTTGTTACAAAAAGATAATAATTTAATTATTTTTAATATTTGTATGTCAAGTGAAAATAAACATATAGAAATTAAAGTTAAGTATATACTAAATGATTTTTAAAACATTAAACATATACATTTCCAAAGTATTATTTTATGTTTTCGAAAATATTTGACTTTTGCTTCTATATTTTTATTTTCATAGGTAATATATTATTATATAATAAAATTAATTAATTTATTAATCTACGGTTTACTCGCGATCGATCCAATGACCCGGCGATCCTCGGAAAGTCGTCCGGTTCAATATTCGGGTCGGGTTTCAAGGACATATAGAAAACTTCCATTCGTTAAGCAACGATATGAGCTAACAAAAACAGTAACTCAGGTCACAGTTGTGTGACGCAGATGGTAGCGTTCCTCTCTTGTGGGGAACTGCTGCTGAATGCCATCTCGTTCTTTCCGATGATGTTGAAACCATGAAGAAAGGTTGTGGTAAATCTTTTGCGCCATTCCCTGAAGGTAACACATGAAACTAGTTTCTGTTTTTTTGAGAGACATACGTGAGTAATTCTCTTGGACCTAACTGCACATATGGTGTATACTTGTATCTTGCAGGGTGTTTCTTTACCTCCTCTAGAGGCTTGAGGAGCTATGAGTATCCACTGAACGAGCTAAAGCCTGTACTGAGGGTGGACAGTTCAGTCATGTGTGAAGTGTGACTTTCAAGGTGGATTCTGAGGCTAAGAAAGAAAGCACAATGCCTAGATTTGGAAGCGTCCAGAATTATTGTTCTCAGCAAATTTAGAGAGGCGACATGTGATTTTGGCTGAGTTTTTTTTCTCTTACCTTATTGGACTCTGTGGCTTCCACAGATTTAAAGTTTCATCGTATCACTCTCTCATATTGACCATTCTAAGTAGTAAGAACTCTATGGAATATTGATCTATTATTGCTCTGTTGCAGATATACTTGGTGACATGAATCTACTGATCAAAGTCTAATAAACTTCTGATTAAGTGCATACGAGTAATAGAAATTTATATGTGAAGTCATGTGGTAAAATATAGTGGGCTTTTTGCAAATTTGACTCAAAACTCCAAGTCAAACACAAAACTAACCTCTTCTTTTGACTCATCTTGTTTTTGTCCTATTCACCCCACATCTTCATTTTATTTACGAAAATGCCATTTAAATGTTTTTTGAATTTTTTTCCGAAAATGGCATTTTTACTCTCTCAACCTCATCATCTTCAAGTATTTACAACATT